CGAAATCTGCAAATAAAAAATTTAGGGGAGAGTGGGGCAAGACTTACACAGTAAAAAGAAAATCTTCTTCAGGGTGGCCGCAAGATTGACTTTATCAATACACTGAAAAAAAAAGTTCATTGAATCAAGTAAATGCATTTTCTTGACCTGATTTATTTGAAACAAACCCATATTTTCTTATTGGAAGAAATTTATTTTCTTGTGTCAAGTAATTTTGAGCATTGATCAAAGTTATTGAAATAAGAAAATATGGGTTTGACATAAGTAAATATCTTACTGTTTCAAACGAACTGTTTTACATGCGCCAAGTCTCGAAAAAGTATTGAATCAAGAATATCATGTTCTCACGTCAAGTAATTTACCTTGAGTCATTTGGTATCTTGAGTCAAATAATTTTTTTATTTCCTTTAAAGCAACTATTTATTTCATCCAACACCCATAGTCTTGAGCCAAGAAAATGGGAAGATTAATACAAGTTAATAATTGTTTCAACTCAATTAAAAATTATTTTGTTTCAAAGAAATATTAATTAATCTAAGCATTTCTTTTACTTGAAGCATTTCTATATTCTCATGTTTCAAAATCATTAATTTCTTGCGAGAATGTTATATTTTCTGGAATGAAATATTTTATTTATTCAATTCAATTAAGTGTAAGATCTTAATATAAGTAAATATTTGTTTCAAGTCGATTAAAAATTATATTCAATTAATCCCATATTTATTTGAAGAAAGAAATTCATTTTCTTGTGTCAAGTAATTATTAGCATTGAACAGAATTCTTGAATTAAGAATGTAGTATTTGGCGGAACTAAATATGTAATTATTTCAACCAAATATTTTACTTTTCCGAAGTACCAAAAAGTATTGAATCTAGAATATATGTTCTTAAGCGAAATAATAAAGTATTGTCTGGAGAATTCATGTTTCTTGAATCGAATCATTTTATTTATTTGCTTTGAAACTTTTTTTTACTTAACACAATGCCGGTGTTCTTGATCCAAGAAAATATTTTTCTTCAAATGTATATGCAACTTAAATATCAGTTTTTGAAAACTGTCCATTGAGGCTAGGATGGCATAGTGGTAGCGTGACGGCTTCTGGTGCGTGCAACCCGAGTTCAATTCCTCCGACCGTGGAAAATTTTCTTTCAAGGTATATTTGTTGTATTTGTGTTAAGTATTAATTAAATGTAAATATATATGTAAAATAATAATTATTTAATTATTTAAATAAAAAATATAAATGTTAATTAATTAAATAATAAAAATGTTTGACCTAAGTATTAGAAAAGATGGAATGGAGGTAAGGGGGGGGGGGTAATTTAAGTAAATAATTTACTTGTATTGAGAAAGTATTTTTTTGATTGAAAACTATAAATTTTCTCAAATCAAGAAAATATTTTCTCGGACAGAGAACATACTTTCTTGATTTGATACATAAATGATTTTGAATTAATATATTCTGCATTTCTTACATGCTACTTAATTTCTTGATAGAATTCCATATTTTCTTGGATCAAGAATATCTGTTCTTCTCACAAAATAAATGTTTTCTTCATTTAATCTTGAATTACTTGAACGAACGTTACAAAACATTGAATGAATCGAATAAAATAATTCAATCATCTATATATATTCTTAGAACAAGAAAATATTTTATTCATTTAATACATTTTATATTTCGTATAAGAAGATTAACTTCTTGGTCGAATTCCATATTTTCTTGGATCAAGAATATATGTTCTTCTCCCAAATATCCTATGTCAAGAAAATCGTTTTCTTGAATCAATACTTTAATAGTCTTGGCCGTATTCAATCCCACGATTTTCTTCAACCAAGAAAAATTTTCTTGGTTCAATACTTTTTTTTTTTCAGTGTATCCCTGACATTTTACTGACATAACAACGAATTTCCCTGACAAAAATTCTTTTGTTTAGAGCAAAAAATGTATTGCATGACCGTTTTAATTTCTTTAATTGCCCTGACAAAAATATTTTTCCTGACATTTCCCTGACCTTACTGACATGTGGCCACCCTGTTCTTTCAAGGCAGGAAAGCAGCCTTAAATTAAGATGCAACATTTTTAAGGGGTTACGCCACCCTGAAATTTTCAAAAAATTTTTTTTTTTTGCTTAATTTCAAAGTTTATATTCTAACGAATATTTTGAGATGTCGCCGAAGACAATGTCTCACTAATTACAAAAGTTATGGTCATTAGAAGTCAGCGCGGTGGGGACGCGCCGAGAGCTGCTGGAAGCAGCGACTTTCTATTTTCGAATGGTCTAGGGGTCCCTTTCATGATTTAGGAAGGGTCCTTTTCATTGTATCCCTTCCATTCTTAAATAAAAAAAATTATGGCCCAGGAATTGCTGATTAAATAGTAAATTGATAAATTTTCAAGTTATAATACACTAAAGTTCATTTTTTTCTTCTTTTGCGTTTTTCTCGAAACCACAATTTTCGAGACGGTGTACACGATAACTCAAAAACTATTCAATCGATTGACTTGAAAATTAATATACATCTTCCTAAATAGATTTTCCACAGAGTGACGTGGGATTTTTTTGATTGAATAATTTGAAAATTTTTTATCCAATTTTGTATACGGTAATTTTAGCCAAAAAAAAATGTCAATTTTTGAAGTGCTTCCATTTGCGTAAAAAAATTTGTTTTTTTAAATGGCTTCGTCACTCTGTTCAAAATTTATCACTTTTTAAGAAAAATATTGTTTTCCTTGTTTCTGACAAAAATTGAACTGCCAATCATGTACACTATCAAGGAGTGCTCCGGAAAAATTGATCCACGCCAATAGTTATATCTCCACCATTTTTAATTAAAAATTTTTTTTTAATATTTATAAAGCTCAATGTATGTACTAAAGCATCAATAAATGTAAAGAAGTCCTACCTGAAACAGTTTTATCAAAAAAATTCCTAAAAAACCATCCGATTTTCATGCGTTCAGGGTGGCGTAACCCCTTAAGGCAGTCAATGCTGAATATTTACGCATGGATTTTGTATCCCTTAACATTATAGAAGACAGTGCTGAATTTAAGACCGATCTTAAATTAAGATTCACTTTTTCCTGTGTAGCAAACCTCCATTGACATGAATTGTTATTATGTTACTAAAAAAGTTATTCAAACGTAAAAAAATTTGGTGGCCCTGAAAAGGGCCAATTGTTTTTTTGATGATGATAATGGGTAATTTAACCGCCGAAACCGTAAAGAGTACGGCCTTGACGCTTGAGAGCATAGACGACGTCCATTGCGGTGACGGTCTTCCTCTTGGCGTGTTCTGTGTAAGTGACGGCGTCACGGATCACGTTCTCAAGGAACACTTTCAAGACACCACGGGTCTCTTCGTAAATCAATCCTGAGATACGTTTCACTCCACCACGACGAGCCAAACGACGGATGGCGGGCTTGGTGATACCTTGGATGTTATCACGCAACACTTTACGATGGCGCTTTGCTCCTCCTTTTCCCAATCCCTTTCCTCCCTTTCCACGACCAGTCATTTTTGCAGAGAATAAAGTTTACGTTCAAACAGAACAAAGAACAAACTCGGAATGAAGCTACGCCGTGAAAGTACGCAGTTTTAGTCCCTCTGGAGTTCCACTGCTCCCCTCCACGATCTGACCAACCAATCAGGATGATAGTTTCCCCTTCCCGTTGACTAACCGGTGCAGGAGAATCTCAAACCTATAAATATGTGCGTTCATATCGCCAAAACCATTTATCAGAGAACTGTTTGAACGCTTGAGTTGAAAGCATCAGAGAACAGATCATCAACTTTCTTTAAAAATATCACCTTTCTGCTGTGCATGCGTATGGATGAAATAGCTTTAATCTTTCTATGCAGTAAATTTGACAAAGGCGTTTGGCGCGTGTCAAATTTGCTATAAATATGCCTAAATCTGATAGACTACTAGTCCGAGACTGGGAAAATCCAAATATTAAGAAATTTAAACCTTATGACAGGAGCAATATGGAGAATAATCCAATCAAAACGAGCAATCGTTATGAAGTACTCAGTTTAGAAAATGAAAAAATGGACCAGGATGAAGTAAACAAATCTGATAACAAACCTTCTGAAACTGAAAGTGAAACTAAAAATAAAATTATCAAGAAAACAAAAATTCCACCAATTATAATTCAAACCACAATTGATGACATAGGATTCTTTATCAACCTCATACACGAAGTAACCTCAGGCGACCCTGTGTTTACTAGAAATAAGGAATCTACAAAAATTACTATTTTACCTGATGCAGAAGAAGATCATATGAAAATTCAACAATTATTGAAAGCCAAAGAAATACCTTACTACACGGAGAAAAAAATCAGGGCTTTGTAGCATGGAGTGGTCTGTACCTTTAGCGCATGGGCGCTTCCTTGCGGCGAAAGAACGAACTCGTACGATTGCAGCAAGGCTCCTTACTAAAATAGGGCGAGCTCTTGCTGCAATCGTACAAATTCGTTCTTTCGCCGTAAGGAAGCGCCCATGCGCTAAAGGTACAGACCACTCCATGCTAAAAAGCCCTGATTTTTTTCTCCGTGTACACGTTTGAGAAAAAGGAAGAGAAACCTGTCAAAATGGTACTACGAGGACTAGCCTTTTTTGCAGATGAAAACGTTAAATCATCGCTGCTTGAACAAGGAATTAAAGCAGAAGTAATTAAAATGAAACAAAAAAGTGATCCCCAAAACTACAATCCCTTGTTCTTAGTGACATTAGACAAAAGTGTTAAAATCAGTGATGTGTACAAAGTGAAAACTGTGTGTTATATGAGAGTTTCTTGGGAGAAATTCAAAAACAATAAACAAATCACACAATGTAGAATCTGTCAAAATTTTGGACATGGCACAAAAAATTGTCATAGTAAACCAAGATGTGTTAAGTGCCTACTGCCTCATTTAACTAGTGAATGCAAGAAAACAATAGATCAACCTGCCCAATGTGTTAACTGCAAAGGAAATCATCCAGCAAACTTTACTGGCTGTGAAGCATACAAATCTCATCTGGAAAAAGTATATAAAACAAGAGCAAAACGACAAATCAACAAACTTCCTATATCACAATTCAATGGAAATCTGGAACAGGACTTCCCCCCCCTGAGGACCATAGGACATGAACGAGCAATAAATCAAAATCAAAACCTATACAAACGCTATGAATGGAACAACAACAAGGATCTCAACTCTAAGCAACAACCAACGAGAAAAATTGATGAAGATTCTTCTACAACTGCCATCCAAGACATATTTGACGTCTTCAAGGATATCAACAAATTATGCGACTTAGGTAAATTACTTAGACTAGCAATTAAACTTAAAGATAAACTAAAATCATGCAATAATAATCTTGAACGACTTCAAGCGCTATATGAAATGTCTGTCGAACTTGATGGGTAATTTCACAAAAAAGCTCGATGTAAATTTGCTTAATATAGTCCACTGGAACGCTGGTGGCATTCAAAATAAATCCCAAGAAATACCATCATTTCTCGACAGACATGACATAGATGTCTTTGTAGTAACTGAAACGTGGTTTAATGAAAAATCTAAACTCAAAATCCCTGGTTATTGTTGTTACAAGAAAAATAGATTAGCTAAAAAAGCCTCTGGAGGTGTGGCTATTTTTGTTAAAAATAGTATCCCTTGTCTTGAGACAAAAATTGAAAACTTAAAAACTATTGAAGCGCATGCTATTACTCTAGAAGGAGGTACCCATATTGTCGGTCTATATTCTCCAAAAAATAATATGCAAATTTCAGATCTTCAACAAATTTTCAAAATTGGTAACAAAATCATAGCTGCTGGAGATTTAAATGCAAAACATGTCAGCTGGAACTGTTATTACAATAATAAAAATGGAAATACCATTCTTGATTTCATAGAAATAAATCCATATATGCTATCTGTCCCCGATGAATTCACACTTTATCCACACAATAGCAAAGCTAGACCTTCTATAGTTGACTTAGCTATTATTAAAGGATTTTCTCAACCAATATATAGTTATGTCATTAATGAATTAAACTCTGATCACAAACCTGTTTTAATCTCTTTCAATGATACATCTGTAAATATACCAGCAACTACTACTCCCCAAGTTCTAGACTATCTAAAAGCTGATTGGAACAAATTCAAAACTATAATTAATAATGAATTACAATTAGAAACACTCCATAATATTGAAAATGAAACTCAGATAGATTCATCAATTACAAATTTAAACCAAATAATAAACAAAGCTATTAATTCCTGTATACCCTTTAAATCCCTTAAACCATTTAAAGAGAAACTCCCAGATGAAATTCTCAGACAAATAAAGCACAAAAATAACTTACGTAAAATATTCCAAAAGACTAGAAATAGCAAGTTAAAACCAATAATAAATGAGGCATGTAGGAACATAAAACAAAAAATTATTAACTACAGAAACACAAAATGGGAAGACAAACTTCTCTCCCTCAACACTGCAAATTGTTCACTCTGGAAGTTCATTAAAGTCTTAAAAGGTAGAAATTCTAGATTCATTCCCCCCCTAGAAACATCCGATAAAATAATATTTAATAATAAAGATAAAGCTGAAATTATTGCAAATAATTTTGAACAGGTACATAAAATGACGAATAATATGGGTGAACCTGGAAGTAATGAGCATATTTCCAAACAATATAATGATATTATTCAAACAAATCTTGATTTAAATGACATAACATTAACCTCACCAAGAGAGATCAAACAAATTATAAATAAAACTAAATCTAAAAAAGCACCTGGTATAGATGGGTTTCAAAATATAATTTTAAAATACTTACCTAAAAAAGCACTAGTACAACTTACTTACATTTGCAATGTTTGTCTCAAGACAAGTTACTTTCCACAGATCTGGAAGAAAGCAAAAATTCTTCCAATTCCAAAACCAGGAAAATCAAAAAATGACCCTAAAAGCTATAGACCTATCAGTTTACTACCAACAATGAGTAAAGTTTTCGAATCAATATTGTTAAATAGATTAAAAGAATTTGAAAAAATAAATCAACAGCTTATACCTGAACAATTTGGTTTTAGAAAAGATCACTCCACTGCTCAACAATTAGCTAGATTTACAGATAACATTACTACTAAATTTAATATTAAACATAGTACAGCAGCAGTATTCCTAGATATAGAGAAAGCCTTCGATACAGTATGGTGTCAAGGCTTAATATATAAGCTAAATAATTATAACATTCCAATGTACTTAATTAAAATTATAGATAACTATCTAAAAAATAGAAAATTTGTGGTAGAAATTAGTAATGAATGTTCCGAAGAAAAAGATATTGCGGCGGGAGTACCACAAGGATCTATTCTTGGGCCTGTACTATTTTTATATTATATCAACGACATACCTAAAAGTGATAATAATGTCCAAATCGCGCTATTTGCGGACGACACGGCTGTGTATGCTTCTTCGAGGCGTAAACAAGTAGCATTAGACAAAATCCAAAAATATCTCTTTAAATTAGAAAAATATTTCCATAAATGGAAAATTAAAATTAATACAAATAAAACTGAACTCGTTATATTCTCTCATAATGATGGAGACGACAAATACACGAATCCTACACTTTATGACGAAACTATAGTTCCTATTAAGCAAGCGAAATATCTAGGAGTAATTTTAGACTCAAAATTATCTTATACTAAGCATGTAAATTCAATCAGAGCCAAAGCAAATATGACAATAAATAATCTATATTCTATTATGAATTATAAAAGTAAAATGAGCCGACAAAATAAATTAAATACTTACAAAATGATTATACGACCAATAGCATTGTACGTTGCCCCCATCTGGAGTAACACTTACAAAACGAATATTGAGAAAGTACAAAAAATACAAAATAAATGTCTAAGAATGACATTAAATGCGAAGCCAGGTACAAAAATTGTAACACTGCATGATACACTAAAAATTCCATTAATTAAAGATTACATATATACACTAACAAAAAATTTCTTTGACCACCAAACTAAAAATTTAGATATTTTGAAAGATGTTGGTAGTCTCAAATACGCTGAAGCTCCATTTAAGATTAAGTACAAACTTATAAATCATTTACTTCAGTAATGTGTAATACCACTAATTATAAGCATAGTAAATTTTCTAGTTTGTAAGTTGTTTTTGTTTCCAAATTTTATTATTATTTGGAATTAATCAGGTTTTTATAAAATTTTTACTGTAACTATATATTATTATCCATGTGATACTCATATGCTACACGTGCCAAATAAATTAGCCCAAATTATTAATTCATAAGGTAGATATCATAAGATAGAATCCTATTTTTGTTACAAATTCGTACTCATGTATATTTACAATGTAAAAAGAAAAACAATAAAGAGTTTTAAAAGTCAAAAAGTCCAAAACCATTTTTCAGTTGTCCCTCGTACTCTGAACTTCTAAGCAATGGCTCGTACTAAACAAACCGCGCGTAAATCCACCGGTGGTAAAGCACCAAGGAAGCAACTCGCCACCAAGGCCGCTCGTAAGAGTGCGCCTGCAACCGGTGGAGTGAAGAAGCCCCATCGCTACAGGCCCGGAACCGTCGCTCTCCGTGAGATCCGTCGTTACCAGAAGAGCACCGAGCTCCTCATCCGCAAACTGCCCTTCCAACGTTTAGTCCGTGAAATCGCTCAGGACTTCAAGACCGACCTGCGCTTCCAGAGCTCCGCCGTGATGGCCCTCCAGGAGGCCAGCGAGGCCTACCTCGTCGGTCTCTTTGAAGACACCAACTTGTGCGCCATCCACGCCAAGAGAGTCACCATCATGCCAAAGGACATCCAGTTGGCCCGTCGCATCCGAGGAGAACGCGCTTAATTCTTTCCATCACCCAAAACAATCGGCCCTTTTCAGGGCCAACAAATTTTCTTACGTTGAAATATTTTTAATTCTTCTACAAACATGCCTTACTGTTCTGTAAAGAAGCTTTTTTCGTATCGATTAAAAACATGTTAGTAGCAATACTGCATCTGGTTATTTATCAATATTACATTCAATTAGTAACCAAAAGAATTTATTACTTTGACAAAAAGTACAAGTGAATGTAACTAATAATTATTCACTATTTGCTTATTAGAAATATTACTATATTTGAAGCACTGGCTTTCTACTATGAGATTAATTATTTTTATAGCCAATACAAATTTAGAAATTATAGACAATCTGCAATACATTTCGTCTGAAGCTGGTTTCTGTTCCAGAATATCTGATCATATCAGTTTATTCGATAATAATAATAATGAATGCAGACTGTCATTCTCAAGAATCCCTTTATCGAAATCCAGAAATGTATTCCAAAAATATTAATTTATACATTTTGGTATTCAATTTTATGAAGATTGTGTAAAGATATAAATTAAAATTTGAAGAAAAAATTGTCCAGAGAATATTTTATAAAAGCTCATTATTTATAAATTAAAAAAGGATTAGCTTTTCGATTAATTTCATTATTTTTTAACTCAAAACTTTCATTATACATATATCAACAGTAATTATATATATTTTCATCTTTCATTGAATAATTTATTTTTAGTAAATAAACATATTTTTCAAAATTTTGAACATTACACGGAGAGAGAATATATATTAAATTTTGTAAAAATATTTTCAAATTGGGGAAAAAGTGCGACAAAGCGAAATTTTGATATCAAAAAATACTAAACTTTAAAAAAACTTATATGAAATTTAGTAAAGTTATATTAGAATTTAATTAATATTCTGGATATTTGATATAATTATACTAAATTTCACATAAGTTTTTTTAAAGTTTAGTATTTTTTTATATGAAAATTTCGCTTTGTCGCACTTTTTCCCTAATTTGAAAATATTTTTACAAAATTTAATATATATTCTCTCTCCGTGTACTTTGTGACACTGTCATTAGTAAAGATTAATATATACGCAGGGTTGCTACGATTTTCGTTCAATAAAATTCCATGACTTTTTCAGGTTTTCCAGGGCTCGAGAAATATTTTGTATAGAAAAATTTTAATTTTTTACTTGTTTTATTTCTTTATTTAAATTATGTACTTATGTACTTTATTCTAATTAGTGATTTGATGATGTTGGCGAACCAGTCCATTGAAATGTAAAAAAAACAATGAAATATTGTATTTCATTTATATATTTTTTCCAGAATCGAATAGGAATTATTATTAAAATACTAAGAAAATAAAAATATCTATGAAAACAGTGAAATGATACTTTTTTATGTACAACGAAATTGTAAATTTAATAAAAACACGCACAGAAAATGTATACTTGTCTCACAGCTAAATAGAAATTTATTCGTTCCGCATAAATAAAATTTCATCAAGAAATTTAAACCTTTTTTAATTTTTAATAATTAGCTGGAATTCAAACGATATCCTCTATTCATGTATTATTACTCCTAAAAAAATCGTCTAATTACCCTATAAGTGATAAGGGAGCGTTTACAAATGATGTCACGTTTTTGGGGGGAGGGGCGGGGTCTCTACTAAACGTGAAACAATGTATTTTTACATGTGAAATTGCATGAATTTGCGTTACAGAGGAAAGGGGGGGTCTAAAGTCCCGAAAACTTGCGTGACATCATTTGTGAACGCTCCCTAAAAGCAGGGTATAAAACTGAACATTGAAATGTTTATTAGATCAAAAAGAATGAGTTCACTGCGAGAGCTATCATTCGTTTCTAAAAGTACGATTCACAGTTAACGCTCACATCATGTTGTAAAGCACTGGTTCTCGTCCGATCACCAAAGTTAAGCGACATTGAGCGCGGTTAGTACTTGGATGGGTGACCGCTTGGGAATACCGCGTAGTGTTGACTTTTTTTTAAATTGAACTTTATTCATAAAATTATATTTACCTATATAGTTTATTGCAATTCGTTTACACCCATTGTTTTATTAAATTTTTTTTAAACATTGTCTTCTATAGTACTACATCAAATTAGCATTCACTTTTTAGCCAAAACTAAGGTTTTAATCAACGTAAAAAAGCTCTTTATTGTCAGCAGATTTATATTCATAAATACACTGTTTCTATATTATTAATATAAAAAAAATGTCTTCAACTAGATACAATTTTAAATACTTAATTCCTACATGTGACTTCATGAAATTTACTTCTTACACTACACACAAATATCTAAATTCCAGCAGTAAAAAAAGTTAAATAATAATTGTTGTTTAGAACTAAATAACTCTTTCGTATAAATATTTGTTGGCCCTGAAAAGGGCCGATTGTTTTGTTGAGGGTGGACAGAATTTACTTGGAGCTGGTGTACTTGGTGACAGCCTTGGTGCCTTCAGAGACGGCGTGCTTGGCGAGTTCACCAGGAAGGAGAAGCCTGACGGCAGTTTGGATCTCCCGGGAGGTGATGGTGGACCTCTTGTTGTAGTGGGCCAAGCGGGAAGATTCGGCAGCGATGCGCTCGAAGATGTCGTTCACGAACGAATTCATGATGCTCATGGCCTTGCTGGAGACTCCAGTGTCGGGGTGCACTTGCTTCAACACTTTGTAGATGTAGATGGCATAGCTCTCCTTCCTCTTGCGCTTCTTCTTCTTGTCGGTCTTGGTAATGTTCTTTTGAGCCTTGCCGGCTTTCTTCACGGCTTTACCACTGGCTTTAGGAGGCATGGTTGTTTTCAGAAAAAGAACGTCTGAACTCGAAGAGAACACAAAGCGAATTGACGTTAAGCAGCGGAAACTGCCCTATTTACGTTCTCTTACAGTCGTGCTCCTACATTTTGATTGGTGCGGGGACTCACTGCAACCATCTGCCACTCACGACGAAGAGAGGGGAGCGCAGTTGTGGGCGTGACCTGTGGAGAGAGCGTAAATAGGCGGATTTCAGGCGCAGAACATCATTCGCTTTGTATTCTTCGTTGTGTTTACTTCGTTAATTCAAAACTAAATCAAAAATGTCAGGACGTGGCAAAGGTGGCAAAACCAAGGGAAAGTCAAAGACCCGCTCCAACCGGGCTGGACTCCAGTTCCCAGTCGGTCGTATCCATCGTCTCTTGCGTAAAGGAAACTACGCCGAGCGAGTTGGTGCTGGTGCACCAGTTTACCTAGCCGCAGTTATGGAATACTTGGCTGCTGAAGTTTTGGAGTTGGCCGGAAACGCAGCTCGTGACAACAAGAAGTCGAGAATCATCCCCCGTCATCTCCAACTCGCCATCAGGAATGACGAGGAATTGAACAAGCTCCTCTCTGGAGTCACCATCGCCCAGGGTGGTGTTCTCCCCAACATCCAAGCTGTTCTTTTGCCGAAGAAGACCGAAAAGAAAGCTTAAATTTTCCACTCACCCTCACAAAACAATCGGCCCTTTTCAGGGCCACAAATTTTTTAAACGTTTGAATTTTTCTGTTCAATATGCTTATTTGTTACTAATGGTAAGAAGTTGTATTATACACTGAGAGACCTTTGAGTCAGCAGCAGACTTTCGATAGGCTGCTACTGACCATTTTGGTGGAACGACAATCCTTTTGGGTGCGTGATAATCCAAAAGTTGTTCAGCTGCAAACCAAAGGCGGCTCTACAAGTTGGTAACGATAATTTTAAAGTTAATTCTATATTTTTTAACAAAATTTTCAAAAGTCTTATTTTCCAAAATTTTTAAAAGTTTAATATCTCCGATATGTCAAAATTTATTTCTATCATATTCATTTTTTTATTGGTAAATATAATCGAGTGGAAAAGAAAGGCAAAATCCAGCAAAGTTCATCAAAATACAGAATAGTATGGGTAAAGCAGGGTGTCTAGCGTCCGGGAAAACCGGGAATTTAGTTTACCCGGGAAATTGCCGGGAATTAAAAAAAATATCCGGGAATTTTTGGAAAGTTTCGTTAGTTCATTAAAATCTATAAAAAAAATTTAATTTAAGATATAGTTCTCCGGCTGCTACTCTTTTAAAAATTAATTTTCGATAGATTTTCTTCATATTTTGAGAAAATATTTCTTCGGGTGCCCTTTAAATGTGGTAAAAATTTCAAAACCTTTTGCCATGTCAAAAAACGAGATATTGTGGTTGACATTTTTTATTTTTAACATAATCGCATGGAAAAGTGAAAGTTTGAACTTGAATAAGTGAAAATTTAGCATCGCAAAGGGTTTTGAAATTTTTACCACATTTAAAGGGCACCCGAAGAAACATTTCCTCAGAATTTGAAGAAAATAAATTTTTACAAGTGTATAGAAGCCGGAGAACTACTTTCAGTCTTATATTTTTCAAAAATTTTAAACATAGATATATTATAGGTAATAGTCAATTTCACGTTAAATTTCAATTCACATTTTCAATTAGGATGAAAATATATTATTGTAAATCTATTTTTTCATTTTTTATAGGTAACGAAATGTTTGGATTTTTAAAAGTAGACTTATTTTTAATTATCTACAACTCTAAAACTATTGAATTTAGAAAACTTTAAATATAAATCCTAATGTTTTTAACTTATTGCAGTTGAATCTCAGTGACTTTTAATGTAAATATCTAAAAGAATACATAAATGCCATTGGATGTTGCAAAATAATTCCGAAACGATCATTTATATAAACGAAAATAATTGCAATTTCTATTATTCGAACTTTTGATTATCTGAACCAAATCCTGCCTGAATTAGTTCGGATAATTCAGTTTCCACTGTATTTAAAAAATTATGAAATTTTAATCGTATATAGTCATTAATGTCCGGGAATAATTTAGTTTTAGGTCCGGGAAATCCGGGATTTTGCCGGGAATTTGAAAATCATAATTCGCTAGACACCCTGGTAAAGTACAGAGGGTCGATTCTGTAACTTTCCACACTTTGCTAAAGTTTAATTGTTTCTGTTATAAATTTATCGTTTTGAACAACAAAAATGGGGAAATAACTATAACAAAAATTGTGTGTATTATTGTTCTCCCACACAAGAGTAAAAAATTAATTATCTAATTAAGAGGAAAAATTATAAATTTAAATTCTTTATTTACGACATACATTTTTTTTAATGTTTATACAAATAAACATAATAAAACAATTGGTAGTGAACTTAACTTATAATTAAAAGTAAAATAAACATAAACAGTTGTCTCTTTCTCTCTTTACAGGTGTCTAAACTGTGAATTACAGTTGTATGTAAACTTAATAAAAATTCAGATAATAATACTTTGTCAAATACAGATAATGTTAAATGTAATCGACAAAAAAAATCTAAAATATTAAAAAAATTCGAAAATTGAAACTTAATAAGAACTAAACTCAATAGTATTATAAGATTATGACAATAATAAAGAAATAAAGACAAAAATTCAAAAAGCATACAATTTTTCTAACCTAATTAGAAACGCAGATTTCATAACTTTCCTCATACTTTAATTTCCAACTTTTGATTAATATCAGCGATTGCTTTTTGTATACTTGCATCTGATGCAATTAAAACTTCCTTCATAGTGCTCTCCAATGGTTTGTTCATTGCCTTATTCAGCACATTATTAACAAATTCAATTAGTTTCGATACTTCAATCAGACGGAAATTTTCAACTTCATATTTAATACTGTCATCAATTACTTTATAAATTTCTATTTTTTTGTATAAATCATTTTCACCATTCTTTGCATTGGACACAATAATTCCCATATCAACTAATTTTGTTTTCAGTGTTTTTAATTCATTATCCTTATTATATTTTTGTTTCAACGCAGTTTCAATTTCAAATATTTTCGTTCCGAATATTCCGGTAAGGAATAGCTTTGAATCAGCAATTGCTTCTGACAATTTGAATTTCTGCAGACAAAGTTTTGAGGCTTCGGAAATAGAGTGTCGCAATTTCTTGAGAGCACTACTTTCAATGCTTTTCGAATTTTCAATAGCTGGAATGATATTAAAGTCGGCATCACTTGTAATAAGACCATGTACAATTTTTTTGAATAATCCAATTTGCTGGTTATTGTCTACTAAGTATTGGACAAATTTCTTTACAATTTGAGGCACTTCCTCATGTTTGTTGAGTAAGAATTTGTTTGTTAACATTGTATTTAGGTAGTTCATGTCGAATGAAGATTTTCGCACTTCAGCAGGCACTTTAGTGAAAATTACAGATAGTCCGGATAAGAATTCTTCTACGTGATTTCCGAAATATTTTTCAACATTTATCGTGAGAAGCTTAACGAGCGGTTCGATATTAGCCTGCAGGAGGTCATTAAAGTCTATGACTAAAATAACTTTTAGAGACTTAACGTATTTCGCCAACTGATGGAAGTCGAAGACACTGGTGACCTCTTGAAGTACTGCGTTGTCATCGCCAAATCCGGGATAGTCCCAGAGAGTCAAATTGGGTAATTTCGAGGAAGTCCATCTTGTCGGAACTGCGGCTTTGGTTGATTCGCCAGCTACTCTTGGCCCTTTGGACTCACTGTAGACTCTTGCTAATGTCACTGGATCGAAAAGCGAACGTCGTTCAGTCTTCAGTTGATTGCCGATCAGGTAGTTAATTAGTGTGCTCTTGCCAGCTCCTTTGGCGCCAATGAAAATTGCCACGTTCTCATCTCCAACTTTATCCCGCATGTATTCCACCGATTGGGAGAGGGATGCTCCCAGCTCCTTGAATTCATTCTCAGTGCAGGTACTTTGTGCGCCAGTGACTAGTGAAATTAGTCCACAGATGATTGCTGCTTTGATCATGATTGATCAATATTATAATTTCGAAACTGAAGAATCAAGCAGTGTGTTTGAAACTTATTCTTAATTTTTTCTGCAGAATCAAAAGAATTACCTTTTACCATTAATGTTCTTATGAATACAAATCAAACAAATAAAATGAAAAGTTTATAATTACCTGTACAGAATTATTTGGCTTTTTAGTTAAAAGTTCTTCGATATAAAGCAACCTTAGAAGAAGCTCCTTTTGCACTCACTGTCGATTCGAAAAAAAAGTTGCTCTACTTATAGTAGGTAATATTTACACAATAGATAAAATAGAATTATTTTCCACTTGTTCGAGTATTTATTTTTTATGTTGGAATTTTATACGTCGATAACTGTAAATATTTTTTGACTGATATTTCAAAGTCAGCAATGACGTATTTTTATTCAATTCAAATAAAATCAACAATTTAAAATTTAAATATTCACATTTAATACAATAATATCTATCAGTTCCGTATTCTAAATTGAGAATAAAAAAGTTTTTCATTGACGTTATAGGAAATATAAATATTTGTTTGGATTTGATATCTACAATTTATTTAAATTTATCCATCTTACAAATTTATTTTAAAAATATTAAAAAATAAAGTTTGAATAATTAATTAATGCGTAATAAAACATATCGAACTTATTTATACTGCAATTCAGGGTTCTTATCTATTAGTAATGGTTTATAAATTAGTTTTTAATTTTTCATTCCTTATTTTGGTTCAGCCTTTTTTAAATTTCCTAATTTTTTGTTTTATCATGAATAAAATTCGATTCTGTGATGGCGATTCGTAAAAGTGACGATTCGCAAAAATGACATTTCTCAAAAATGTCAATTCGCAAAAATGACTATTCGCGAAAACGACTAATCGTAAAAATGACATTTCAGAAAAATGTCTTTTCGCAAAAATGACATTTCGCAAAAATGTCTTTTGGTAAAAAGGACAATTCGCAAAAATGACTTTCCGGAAAATTGACAATTCGTAAAAACGGCCATTCGCAAAAATGACTTTTGGGAAAATTGGCAATTCGCAAAAATGACAATTCGCAAAAATAGCTTTTCGAAAAAATGACAATTCGCAAAATTGGCTTTTCGCAAAAATGACTATTCGCAAAAGTGCAGTTCGGTAAAATGAAATTTCGGAAAAATGACATTTGGGGAATAATAATGCGCGCAGTCGCTGATTATGAATCTAATATTAGTTTTCCAGAATTCAAAACGGCGGATACAATATGGTAGACGACAAAATAAAAAAAATTAATTATAATGGTTTGAAACTGAATACTCGGGGCTTTTGAATTTGTTTGAAACTGGTAATCTGACATCAGTATGATAATTTTTGGTAAAATCAAATTTCGTTAAATACCCTGACATTAGCTGGTGAATTTAATTTTTATAGTTTATTTTTAAATTAACGACCCCAGAAATTACTACGCGGAGGCTGCCATAGGATTTTACATTCCATTTTTTTATTTTTTAAACATTTATATATATATATTTTTTAATTTTATTTTTTATATACTAAATTATGTACTAGACGCGTCGTTGCATGCAGCTACGTAATACTAAAACCCTTAAGTAACTTTCAAGCCAATACAATTAATTTTTTATTTTTTAGCAACCCTGAAAATCCCCGAGTATTCAGTTTCAGGTCAATTCAATCAATTTTTTTATTCTGTTGTCCGCCATATTGGATCCGCCATTTTGAATTTTGAAAAAATAATGTCAGATTCTGTTCCACTGTGTGTGGGGTGGGGGGGGGGGTCAAAATCCCCAAAAAATTAGGGCTATGTGGTTTATGGACGACCCCTTAAAATCACAACGTTATAATAATAAAAACAACAATAATAAATCGATAGAATAATTAAATTTAATTGGTTTTTCATTAGTAAATTAATAGTACATGTTTATAATATTAATAAAATGTAATAATTACTAATTTAAATTTACATAATTAAATTAATAAAAAAATTCTATTCAGGTTGGTCCAAGATTCAGTTTATCAATTTCCTAGACAATTTACTTTCATTAAAATTATTTGCCCTGACAAATCATATTATAAAGGAGTAAAATTTATGAATTTTAATAATTTCTAAACATTATAAATATAACCATTCCTGAATTCAATTATTTTCTACAATTTTCAACTAAACTTCACTTCTGAACCAATTACTTTAAATAAGTTTCCCAAAGTTCTTTTAGAATTTAAATATTGAAATACAAAAACTCAATTTTTTATAATAAATAGTAACTCTCCATATATTATACAAAGTTTTATGTTAAGAACGCATTTAGTAAGTTTTGTAATTTTAGCAAAACGTATGGTAATTTTTAACATAAAGTATTGTAACTTTATTTTTAAAGTTTTGTATATTTAAAAACTAATTGTATTTTCTCGTGACATTTGTACATTTTTTTTGTAAATATTGTAAATTAATGACAACGAAGTAAGGCTTTAAAAAGAACTTATCGAATGTATTTGTAAATAATGATGTTTATTTTAATGAAGAAATAAAAAATTTTAAATATTATTTGCGAGTTACTTTAATTTATCTATTATGTTGTATCTTTATTTCTTTTTTTATGTTAGATTTAGGACACTAGTTCTAAGTTTTAACGCAATTGTTTGTCTCTGACAACATTTCTAGCTTGTTTACTATGAAATTTAAACGCATTTTTTTATCCTTGCAATTTGGAAGTAAATTTAAAATTTATGGCTAAAGTTCTGATTTGCGAACGTGATGCATGAGGTAGAATAGGATATAAGTATATCTATCTCCTTTTCTATCTTATGCACGACGTTCGCGAGCCTATTCTGAACGAATAAAGAATTACTATTTCAAAACAAAGAAAGATTATTCTAATGTTAATGATAATGAATACAATGAATACTCACATGATTTTAAGAATAGTGTTAGTGACAATATGCTTGAGTTCGGTAAGATGTAAAACGAAACATGTGCTGCCATCTCCAACTCTTGATCGGTACTTCTTGAAGAAAAATTTTGACTTTCATAAACTAATCAACTGCCGAAAAGACACCAGCGCTTCTAACGGAAATTTTCGCAACTAATCTTCACAACTAGAAACTCTTTATCGACAACGACCATCTTCTTTTTCCGTACGGCAGAAGTTAATATGATCACAAAAGTTTTGTAAATTCAAACCTTTAGAATGAAATAGAAAGAATTAATCATATTCTACAGTGTCTTAATAAAAACTATGTATGAAACACAGTTCAAAGAGTAATTAGCTTCACGAATTAAATACAAACTTTGTAAAAATAAGTTGCTGGACATAGTTCTGATACATTGTAAAAGGGCGTTAGAACCCCTAGAAAAAAATGACGCTCAAATATAGAACAAAATCAATACACAATACGGTACTCCACATTCCACTATTATAAATACGAAAAAAGTATTAATACTTTGCAACCACTTACAAGAAAGCTATTTATAAACTTTCCTATTGAATAGTTTTTAATAAAGACTAAATAAAAGTAAATTTTTTGCATACTTGACAAATATGACCAGTATTATGTTTCAACAGAAAAGAATTCAAACGTAAAAAAATTTAGTGGCCCTGAAAAGGGCCGATTGTTTGTTTTTTGATGATGATGATGGATGAATGAAGTTAACCGCCGAAACCGTACAGGGTGCGGCCTTGACGCTTGAGGGCATAGACGACGTCCATGGCGGTGACGGTCTTCCTCTTGGCGTGTTCGGTGTAAGTGACTGCGTCACGGATCACGTTCTCAAGGAACACTTTCAAGACACCACGAGTCTCCTCGTAGATCAATCCCGAAATACGTTTTACTCCACCACGACGAGCCAGACGACGAATGGCGGGCTTGGTGATACCTTGGATGTTATCACGCAACACTTTACGATGGCGCTTTGCTCCTCCTTTTCCCAATCCCTTTCCACCCTTTCCACGACCAGTCATTTTTGCAGAGAATTAAGTAAGTACGTTCAAACAGAACAGAGAACAAACTCGGAATGATATTTCGTTGTCTGAGCTCTCAGTTTTATTCCCTCCGGAACTCCACTTCTCCCCTCCATGATCTGACCAACCAATCAGGATAATAGTTCCCCCTTCCTCTTGACTAACCGATGCAGGAGAATCTCAAACCTATAAATATGTGAGTTTTTACCGCCATAACCATCAATCGTCACTTGTACTTTGAACTTCGAAGCAATGGCTCGTACTAAGCAAACCGCGCGTAAATCCACCGGTGGTAAGGCACCAAGAAAGCAACTCGCCACCAAGGCCGCTCGTAAGAGTGCGCCTGCAACCGGTGGAGTGAAGAAGCCCCATCGCTACAGGCCCGGAACCGTCGCTCTCCGTGAGATCCGTCGCTACCAGAAGAGCACAGAGCTCCTCATCCGCAAACTGCCCTTCCAACGCTTGGTCCGTGAAATCGCTCAGGACTTCAAGACCGACCTGCGCTTCCAGAGCTCCGCCGTGATGGCCCTCCAGGAGGCCAGCGAGGCCTACCTCGTCGGTCTCTTTGAAGACACCAACTTGTGCGCCATCCACGCCAAGAGAGTCACCATCATGCCAAAGGACATCCAGTTGGCCCGTCGCATCCGAGGAGAACGTGCTTAATTTTTTCCACCACACAAAACAATCGGCCCTTTTCAGGGCCACCATATTTTATTACGTGGGCGTATATTTGGAGCAGGCATTTTAGTTTACTTGTTTTGAGCTTACAGACAATGCTTATTTTTCTTATTATTTAGATAACTTCAGAACACTCTTAATATAATTCGAGAATAAACATAAGATTAAGAATAGAATAAATGTGTCTTATTATTCAGATAACTTGAATTTTTTCAATGACAATTATTAGTAAGATCCACTAATCGATTCTTAACATAATTACATAAAATAATACTTTTGAATTTTCTTATTATTTAGTTAACTTCAAAACGTCATGTTCAAAATTCAAAGAATGAATCACATTTGAAATTTACATGCATTATTGCTATAAAGTTTTACACTGAGAGAAATGATTGGTTATTCGACTATTTACTTATTGTTAGTTAAATTAAAAGTTTACTTTTTGTGATCATAAATACAGTACTAAAACTTTCTATTTATTCAAATGGTTTGTTTAATTTGTCGAAATTTTTATTTATGACGCTGACATTTTTATTAATTTTCAAATTCTTCATTTAGGTACTTAATTTTATTTTAATAAAAATTGATGTCAGCATAATACTATTGAAATTTATTTACTAACCTTATAGAAACGATAATGTAATACTCAATATACAGAGAATTTGGTTGCATACATTTGATGTGTATGCAGTTTAAAGGTATTGAAATTTGAATTTATTTCTAAATTAATTCGTTTACAGTTTCCTCGCATGCAATTTAATTCTAAGCAATATTTTTTTAATAAAATATTATTAACTTAATACGTAAACAGTTTTATCGTATGCAGTTTAATCGTATTAAATTTAATTGTATAATGTTTATACTCAAAACAATTTTAATAGACAATTACCTTGTATATAGTTATATTGCGTGTGCAGTTTTTCTGTAAGCTATAACAACGGCTCCAAAAATAAAATAACGAATATGTTATTTCGTATTCTGAAAAATGAAACGATGTCGCAACATCCTAATACATATTTATTTTATGTAACCTAAAATAAATGTTTTCAGTTTAGAAAAGACGAATAATTATTACTCTTCAAAACAATATTTAATTTTAAATAGTTTAAATTAAAATACTGACTTATATTATACTTTAAAAGTTGAATAATTAAATACATCAATACAAATTAAGTTGCAGATATTATCTGCAACGTTTCAGATAATTCATTTCATTAACATCAGAATATACAGTTATTCTTCTCTTATAAATTAGAAACTTTGTTTCAATCAATACAACAGATGTGACTTTTGTTAAATATACTGTCTATATAGCGAAACATAGAAAGTTTTCTGCACATCGAATTATAGAACTTGTGGTAAAGAATAACTTAAATTGCAAACAATCAAAGAACACGAATTCAAAAAATAATTTAATAATTTTAACGAAACGCATCTGCTACGAAAAATTATGCATTAGATAAAAGACAATTTGTCAAGATAATCAGACTAAACGTTACTATAGCATATAATATTATAATCATTTTGTTATTATACCATAAAATATGATTAAAAAAAATTTAAATACAATTCAACTAAAATTAAGGAAAAGGAAAAGGAAAAAATATCTTGAATGTTGCCAGAATATATATCTATATCTCATGCATCTACGTCTAAATGGCAGTACAAAATTTCTGCAAAAAAGAAATATTGTTTAAAAATATACGAAATCGCATATTAGTGATAATAATAAATTGTTCATAAATTTTTTATTATTGAACTACACATTAATCCACGCGCCACCAAACTACATTGAGAGCTAGAACTCAAAACAAAATTAAACTGCTCTCAATGTCTTCAGTTTATATTTACTAATAAAATAAGTTAAATACTCCACAAGAGTGATAACCAAAGCGTTGATATTAAAACTGAAATATTTAAAACTTTAATTTGTCAGTATATTTTTAACAATTTTCCAAACTTGTAACGTCCGTTCACTTATAGCAGAGGCCCGGAAAGTATTGATTTTTGCAAGAAACTACCACAAGATTAAAGAATATTTTTAAAGAACCGAGGAAGACAATATTCGTGCAAGTGAAATTCAATATATTATCAAAACGATAAGTATAATTTAATCATTAAAAAATATAAAATCTTTTGAATGTGGTTCGCAAGTTAGCGACAATTTAAACGGCAGACGCCCAACGAGCGTCGGGGTCTTTCTTCAACGTTCGTGCGTTTTACTAACACCCGACTCTCTTCGAAAAATGGTCACTTCAGTCTCACAAGTCACGTTGAGAGCATCACTGAGTTTACTTGAACTTTTTTGAAAACTATCTCCACGAAATGGCAGACAAAGTAGAATCCCCAGCCGCACCTGCAGTGGCGACTCCGAAGAAAGCAGCCAAGGCGCAGAAGCCCCGCGCCAAGGCCAGTCACCCGCCAGCGTCGGAGATGGTGAACGCGGCCATCGCCACTTTGAAGGAGAGAGGCGGCTCTTCGCTCCAAGCCATCAAGAAGTACATCGCCGCCACCTACAAAGTCGACGTCGAGAAGCAGGCTCCCTTCATCAGAAAGTACCTGAAGGCTGCAGTCGCCAGCAAGGCTCTGATCCAGACCAAGGGCAAGGGCGCTGCAGGGTCCTTCAAGTTGAACGTCGCCAAGGCCGAGGGCAAGGCCAAAGCCAAGCCCAAGACCAAGACTGCCGCCAAACCCAAAGCTGCTGCAGCACCAAAGGCCAAGAAAGCAGCTTCTCCGAAGAAGGCCGTGGCAGCCAAGACCAAGAAAGCCGTCGCCGAGAAGAAGAAGACCCCGAAGGTTGCGGCCAAGCCACCGAAGGCCAAGTCCACCACCGCCAAACCCAAGGTGACCAAGGCTGCTCCCAAGAAGGCGGCCAAAGCTTCGCCCAAGAAGGCTGCAGCGCCCAAGGCGAAGAAGCCCGCGGCAAAGAGGGTTGCCAAGAAGTAAAGTGGAAAGAAATTGATAGTGGATGATTGACAACAAACGGCCCTTTTCAGGGCCACCAATTGCTTTTTACGAAAGAATTTTCTTTGTCTCAAACAAATATTTAGAATAGTAGTCAAGTCCGAAATAATTAATAATAATTTAATTCTTATATTTATCAAAATTTTAAAAAAGTACTACAATAGGCGATTCCACGTTACCTTTTAGTATCCATTCTAATTTAGGATGGAAATATTTTTTTTCTGTTTACAAAAAAATGGTAAATCTGTATTTTTTTATTAGTAGACAAATTTTTGGGTTGTAAATTTAAAAGAATTTAATTTTCTAAAAGTAGACTTATTCATAATTATTTATAATTCTAAAACTACCTATTGAATTTAGAAAATTCTGACAAAAACTTCATCTCTAAATCAATTATTTTTAAATAATTTTCCGAAAGTTCTACTAGAATAAATTTAATTAAAATTATTAAATTATTATTTAAAAATTGAGTTTTTGTATTTTTAAATAATATAATATAAAAAATCAATTTTTTATAGTCCTTGTCACTGTAAAAATAATTAAATTTTTGGAAAATATAAATAAAAAAGTTGTGAATCCAGATGTTGATTACATGAATATTTTGCCTTCTCTTTACGGTGAGCAAAAAAAAAATTTCCTCCACGAGGAAGCAAAGCAATTGAACTTTTGAACAATTTTAATTATAAATTTTATTTTACTTTGTTCAAAGATAATTGAATCTTAAAAAATTGTAATAAAACAATGGTAAGAATTAGGTTTTCCAAAATAATTGAATTTGTTCAAATGTAATTTTTTGTATATGTATTTAATTTGTCGGAAATGTCATTGAAAATAAGGTTCCTAAAATTGGCATAGTTTCAAAGATATTGTAACAAAATAATTGAAAAAATTAATTAAATATTTTCATTACAGATATATGAAAAAAATTTGATTCAAGAATTGATACTTCAGTTTTGACTGTTATTGAGCAACTTCTAATAATATCTAACATAAAGTAAATGTCACATAATTCAGATAGAGAAAGAAATTTTTCAAAATAATTCAAATGAAAAATAAACAATGCATGTAACTCAATTGTTCAAACGTAAAAAATATTTGATGGCCCTGAAAAGGGCCGATTGTTTTGTGTGAGGGTGAGTATATGGATAATTTAAGCTTTCTTTTCGGTCTTTTTTGGCAAAAGAACAGCTTGGATGTTGGGGAGAACACCACCCTGGGCGATGGTGACTCCAGAGAGGAGCTTGTTCAATTCCTCGTCGTTCCTGATGGCGAGTTGGAGATGACGGGGAATGATTCTCGACTTCTTGTTGTCACGAGCTGCGTTTCCGGCCAACTCCAAGACTTCGGCAGCCAAATATTCCATAACTGCGGCTAGGTAAACTGGAGCACCAGCACCAACTCGCTCGGCGTAGTTTCCTTTGCGCAAGAGACGATGGATACGACCGACTGGGAACTGGAGTCCGGCCCGGTTGGAGCGGGTCTTTGACTTTCCCTTGGTTTTGCCACCTTTGCCACGTCCTGACATTTTCGATTTAGTTTTAGATTAACGATGTGAACACAACGAAAAATACGAAGCGAATGATGTTCTGCGCCTGAAATCCGCCTATTTACGCTCTCTCCACAGGTCACGCCCACAACTGCGCTCCCCTCTCTTCGTCGTGAGTGGCAGATGGTTGCAGTGAGTCCCCGCACCAATCAGAATGTAGGAGCACGACTGTAAGAGAATGTAAATAGGGCAGTTTTCGCTGCTTAATGTCAATTCGCTTTGTGTTCTCTCCGAGTTCAGACGTTCTTTCTCTGAAAACAACCATGCCTCCTAAAGCAAGTGGCAAAGCTGTCAAGAAAGCCGGCAAGGCTCAGAAGAACATCACCAAGACTGACAAGAAGAAGAAGCGCAAGAGGAAGGAGAGCTATGCCATCTACATCTACAAAGTGTTGAAGCAAGTGCACCCCGACACTGGAGTCTCCAGCAAGGCCATGAGCATCATGAATTCGTTCGTGAACGACATCTTCGAGCGCATCGCTGCCGAATCTTCCCGCTTGGCCCACTACAACAAGAGGTCCACCATCACCTCCCGGGAGATCCAAACTGCCGTCAGGCTTCTCCTTCCTGGTGAACTCGCCAAGCACGCCGTCTCCGAAGGCACCAAGGCTGTCACCAAGTACACCAGCTCCAAGTAAATCTTGACCACCATTTTCAAAATACAATCGGCCCTTTTCAGGGCCAACAAGTATTTTTACGAAAGAATTATTTGGTTCCAAATGTGTTGCAGTATTAGGGCTACCTTTCTAGTAAGTCACATGTTGACATTGCAAATTTGATAGTATCCAGTTGAAATCGAAAGGGATAATGGTTATAACATTAGTTCAACTTAATTTTAATTATTTATAATAAATATATTATTTATTTATTATTAAATTTAATTTATTGGTTTATATCTAGATATTTTTTCTATTGCGTGGACAACAAACTTTTTTTGTTTTTATACAAAAAATGAGAGAAGATTGGTTACGGTACTTCGGGACAGTAGGGGACATTTGAAAAAGAAACAGAATATAAAAAGGAACAAATATTATATTAAGAATATCTATATTATATTCATATAAATAACTTCTTATCATATAAAACCAAGTTCCTGTTTTTTTTTTTTCTCTTTTCTTGATTCACAACATAAGTATGTTATTTATAAAGCAATGGAAGCTGTCAGATTTCTTAAAGAATTGAAACATTTTGCTAATAATTGACTTATAAGAGATATAAAGTATTTAGTTACCATTTTACAGACGGGACAGTAGTGGACAACTATGTTACAATCGTTAATCAATTATTTTTCTGCTCCACTATATAATTTGTAGGATAGAGACCAGAACATTCTAATTGCTTGAGGTTATTCATTTATTATTGTAGCATCGGTAAAACAGTGAGTGTAAGCGCGTAACCTATTCGTAGTGCGTGTGCAAAAATGAATTCATTTTGGCAGAATATAAAATATGAAAATAAGTGACATGTTTTTAATCATTTCTTAAAATGATATTCTTGAATTTTATATGAAGTAATTAATGAATTTTAAAATATGAGAATTAGAGATTATAAAGAATTTTTGTTTAAATCTAATACAAAAGAATGTATATATTAACTATTAGAGGCAATGTAGTGCAAGTGCCTCGAGGACAGGGACAGTAGGGGACATTTAGTCTGCTTTTTAGTCTGTCATTTCGTTTTAAATAACCTCAAAGTTCTTCTATAAGTTAATAAAAAATTAGAGTATGTTATAGATATTAATAAAATAAACCAAACAATATTCATTTGCTAGCTAATAACTTTTTTTTGACCAAGGGACATAGATTTTACATTTTAAATGAAATGAGAGATATATTTCTACTAACAGCTGAACGCTTTTTCACGTTGAGTGGAATCTTAGTTTTAATATCAAGTGTTAAACTTTAAAAAAAATTATATAATATTTACTAAGTTATATCAATTAATAAACTTCACTGGTTTACAGTGAAATTGCCAATCGAACAAAACATTTTTTTTCGAATAGTAGGTGTTTGTTGAGTAAGAAAATCAAAGTTTTAATTTTTTTTCCCTCGTGCAGTTTTTCTGTAGCTTCAAATTTTGCAGTTTCGAGGTGCGACGCCACTTAAACTTACCTGCAGGAAAATTAGCTTGTCAAAATATAATAAATGAGGTATCATTGGAAAGTTTATTAAATTACCTTTCGATCCATAGGTCACAGAATAAAATTCAACAAGAATTGAGAGAGTTACAGTCGATTAAAGATGAAATTTCATGACAATTTTGATGATTTTTAGATATTTGAGTAACTTCTACTATTTTTTTCTACATCAAACAGGAAAGAATGTTTAGGTTTTAATTTTTTTATTGATAGACTATATCATTACAAAAATTTTGAGCCCTTGTGGACCTCGATTGGATTAAAAATGACAATTCTACACTAAATTTAGTGAACGAAACTACATTCTTCATTTTTAGTATCCCTTAAACATTTGCAGCAAAAATTCAAGTAATAAAATTTAGTTAAGCCCTAAAGTGACTAAAATCACTAATCAAGGGTTTCTGAAGTCGTAGATTTCGAATGCAATGTTAGTTTTGCAAATTTCAAAATGGCGGATCCAATATGGCGGACAAATTTTTAAAAATCGATTAAATTCGTCTCAAATTCGTTACTCGGGGGTTTTTGGGGTCGCTGATTACGAATCCGATGTCAGATTTCGATAATTGAAAATGATGGATTCATAATGGTGAACGAGTATTTTAAAATCCATCGAATTCGCACCTACTGGATCCGCCATTTTTAATTTTCGAAATCTGACATCGGATTCGTATTCAGCGACCCCAAAAACCCCCGAGTAACGAATTTGAGACGAATTTAATCGATTTTTAAAATTTTGTCCGCCATATTGGATTCGCCATTTTGAAATTTGCAAAACTAACATTGCATTCGAAATCTACGACTTCAGAAACCCTTGATTAGTGATTTTAGTCACTTTAGGGCTTAACTAAATTTTATTACTTGAATTTTTGCTGCAAATGTATATATATACTAAAAATGAAGAATGTAGTATCGTTCACTAAATTTAGTGTAGAATTGTCATTTTTAATCCAATCGAGGCCCACAAGGGCTCAAAATTTGTGTAATGATATAGTCTATCAATAAAAAAATTAAAACCTAAACATTCTTTCCTGTTTGATGTAGAAAAAAATAGTAGAAGTTACTCAAATATCTAAAAATCATCAAAATTGTCATGAAATTTCATCTTTAATCGACTGTAACTCTCTCAATTCTTGTTGAATTTTATTCTGTGACCTATGGATCGAAAGGTAATTTAATAACCTTTCCAATGATACCTAATTTATTATATTTTGATAAGCTAATTTTCATACAGGTAAGTTTAAGTGCCGCCGCACCTCGAAAATGCAAAATTTGAAGCTACAGAAAAACTGCGCGAGGGAAAAAAATTAAAACTATGATTTTCTTACTCAACAAACACCTACTATTCGAAAAAAAAATGTTTTGTTCGATTGTCAAAAAAAAGTTTTTAATTTGTAAACCTGTGCTTTTAACAAATTTTAATATCATTTTACTAAATATTGTAAGTTTTTTAATGTTTAGTAATTCGATATTATATCATAAAATACTTTTATCACATTGTGTCCTACACTTGTAATATACTTTTA